CGCGGCCACAGCTGCAGGACCCTGGCGTGCTTGTGCTAGCTAGCCAGCCGCCGTGCTAGCTAGCTTAGCTAGCCGGCTTCGCCGCGTGGGCTAGCGCCCGGCATGGCCCCGAGCACGCGGCCCCACTTCCACCGGACCAGGAGCGGCGGCGCTCGACGGGAGCAGGCGAGGCGTCTGGCGCGATGACGGGCATGCGGTCACGACGGGAGCGAGGGCGTGCATGAGCAGGAGCGGCTGCGCCGGCGTCAAGTTCGCTATGCCTACTACGTGTTCGAAGAAATGACGCTGGTGAAAATGGGGTGAAAATGGGGTAGCAGCGTTGGGTGCATCGAGTTTGTCTGGCCTTTGTCCGGCGTTTGTTCTCCCTATTTCTACCTCATACGGACAAAATCCGGACAAAATGGGTATAGATTTAGGGTCATGCGGTGGAGTTGGCCTAATGCGTAAGATAAGTGTGAATGTTGTGGATGACCTTCTCGTAGGCAGACAGGAAAGAATCCATAGTGGTGTATTGATGTGGTGACTATGTGGACTCGTATGCGCTCTCTCACCCCAAAGAAAGTACTTGTAATCGTAGTTCAGGGTAGCCACTGAGTGAAAGTTGGTTTGCTGCAGTTAAACTTCATCACTCCATTGTTTATACTGATACATATGTAGTTAATTCTGATGTAAGTTTTGCTGAGTATCTTTGTACTCACAATTTCTACGATAAGATCACCGAGTACATTGAATCCCAGACAGAGGTCTGGTTCCTTGAGAATCCCATTCTGGCTTGCACCTTCGTTGCCCTTGACTTCACTTCAAGATCATTCAAATATGACTTGATAAAGATATGTGTTGACAAAGGACTTTAAAAAATATCCTCATACACGGCCTTTCTCCTTGCCCCTCATATTGCCCATAATGTGATCATTGGGCACAAAGAGTATAGGACCAAATGCGTGCATGCGTGCGCGGCCTTCACAGAAGTAGCGTACAGTAGAGGCATAAATAAATTAGCTGGAGTAGTAGAATAAATAAATTTGTACTAGTAGTATAGAGTAGAGCATAGAGAGTCTAGGACTTGTCGAGGAGGTTGTCGAGGTAGAGGTTGAGGATGTATCTGCCGGTGGAGAGGACGTCGAGGCGCTTCTCGCTCGGCTCGTACCGCCCCTTGCGCAGCTGGTACCGGTGCGTCACCGCCGACACGGTGTACGCCTGCCCTTCGATCGTCACGCTCTCTCCGCAGTGGATGTTCTGCGTGCGTGCGTACGTACCCACCACAAAAACAAAACACACTGTCAAAACTGCAACAGCCAGAAATACAGACTGACAGAGTGCGTTGCTGCATGAAGTTCTGAATTGTTCGGAACAGGTTAGGAGAAGATTTAGTGTTCCATAACAATACGAAAATGGAAGAAAAAAAAAATGATAGTTTTAACTTTAGATCAAATCCCAACTATCACCAGCCAAGAACAGTTGTACTAACTTTTACCAGAGCCAAAGGCTTTGTATCAGTCTATCCGATCTGGCATTTGCTGCAGTTCTGCTAAAGGTGTTGAGGGGCAAACCTATCTGTAGCTGCCTGGCTGGTAGACACTGAGACTACAGCCAAACATCTGACGCTGTTACTGCTTGGATAGCGATTTCAATCCTAAATTTGCCGGTTCAGGATTTGTGTTCTTTGTTCCCTGCACACCCCGTGAGACTGTAACCAAGCTTCTGAAGCAACCTCAGTCAACTCTGCTACACGGTTTGTTGCAGGAAATACAGTTTGGACGACCAACTACCGCTCAGATCAAGGGAGAAGCCCACTTTATAACTGATAAACGTGTCATAGGGTTCCCATTACAACTCTAAATTTTTATTGGTTCATTCTACCTAACTAAACTCTGAAAACTGTTACATGCTTGCTGGCTTGCCACGAGCGTACTGAGGAGGTCAGCACACAGGAAAAAGCTGAGGCACTGGCGCTCCGCCGTGCGGTCGCTCTCACTCGTTAAGAAGGGTTTAAGAAGGCCATCTTCGCTTCAGATTGTCTCATTCAGAGGTAAAAATATTGAACAATTTCAGTAAATCAAATTAAACATATGGCAACACGAGTTTGATTTCAGTTGGCTGAATCAACCTATAAATGATTAATGTGGTAAAATTGCTGCCCAAATTGATCATTTATGGGTTGATCAACGAATGTGGTAAAATTGCTGCCCAAATTAAACATATGGGTTGAGAGAACGTTTTTTTATGGGGGCAGCAGGAGCCAGGAGCTCTGCTTTTGCATTATAGAAGGGGGACAATACAGTACAATAGGCAAAGCCTGATGTTCTAGTTCGAAGTTCAACGTTTTGGTTCAAAATTTGAATAATAGACAAAAGTTTGAAAAATTGCAGTAAATCAATAGTAATTGCAGATCTAGAAGCTCAAGTTGACATACAGTTTGAGAGGAACCTAGTGTTCCAGTTTTAACCACGATGAGATGGAGAAACAGATGACATGTCAGAGAGGAAAGAGAGGAAATGTGACGTGGCACTGTTGATTAGGATGAAACCCAAGTTAAATGGGTATAAAACTGGTCGATTCAGAAGAAATGGGGAATTATGAATGGCTTTTAGAGTACAGGGGTAAACTGAACCAAAGCAAATTCGAGGTTGTAATGTGAACTCAATGATAACTTCCGGAGGAATAATAGACAAAAGTTTGAAAAATTGCAGTAAATCAATAGTAATTGCAGATCTAGAAGCTCAAGTTGACATACAGTTTGAGAGGAACCTAGTGTTCCAGTTTTAACCACGATGAGATGGAGAAACAGATGACATGTCAGAGAGGAAAGAGAGGAAATGTGACGTGGCACTGTTGATTAGGATGAAACCCAAGTTAAATGGGTATAAAACTGGTCGATTTAGAAGAAATAGGGAATTATGAATGGCTTTTAGAGTACAGGGGTAAACTGAACCAAAGCAAATTCGAGGTTGTAATGTGAACTCAATGATAACTTCCGGAGGAAGTGGACTTCTCTCCTTAGATTATCGCTTGCATTATTGGATTTACAGGATTGGGACGAGGTACACTGCAATATAGACCCGCCGAGGACAACGAATTCGTTGCATGTTGCAGCACGGGCCATTGCTGCCTGCTAGACCTTACAGAAGCTCGTACTACTACTGCCTACATGGCATGGCAGAGACAGAGATTCAGAAACAGAGTAGGGAGATGGACGCAGCGATCGTGCGCGCTTACCGTGGGGAAGCAGCGGACGCCGAGGCATCGCGGCGGCGGCGTGATCTCGACGACCTTGAAGGGGTACTTGTGCTCCTTCTCCCGCTCCAGCTCCCTGTCCCGGTCCTTCTTCCTGCACACCACCGACAAACGCGGCTGCACGCCGCAGACAGAAAGGAGCACGCAGGATGTCAGCTAGCTCGTCACAGCAACGCGACGCTGTTGGCCGATCGCCGAGCACGACCGTGCTACGTTTGCTCTTGTGCTGGCTGCTAACCTTGTGGTAAGCGATGGAGGTGGAGGCGACCATGGCCATGGCGGATTGCTCTCTCCGCTCTGCTTGCTGCTGCCGCTGAGAGATCCGCAGAGTCCTCGCGGGCGAGGGAGGCGGCGCGCTGAAGGGATTTGGTGGACGGGCAGAACGTCCACAGATTTCCTTGCTCTGCTCTCCGGTGATGGATGGTGGTTGATTGGTTTGAGGATTCTACAGCAGCTTCAGCCGGGAGGTGTGGAAAGAAGGTGTGCCACGCGTGCCGATCGGTCCGATCAAGTCGCTGTCAGAATGCTGATTTTCCCCTCGTCTTTTTCCCCTTCTCTGAATTTCTTGTAACATTTTTGTACTTTTGCGCAAGCCTAGCAAATCCCATTTACCATCAATAGAAGATAGAACACACTTTGTACCATATCCTACTGCAGAATCTTTCTTAAGTATAAACTAGCGGCATCTCTGGTGTGGAGCTTGATAAAATGCTCTTTTATCGAAAAAGAGTTTTCCCCGCTTTGTATACAAAGCAACCAACCGAATCATACAGGGATAGATGCTGGGGCGGAACCAGCACAATCACGCCAAAAAAGCGACATAGAAAGAGCAAAAGAACGACCACAACAGATCAACAAAAACGAAGAAGCCTCGCGAACGTTGCGTCCACCGGGATCTTTCACTAGGCTCCAAGACTCCGAAGCGCCGGCACCTATCAACACCTTCAAGAAGGATCGCGACGATGACGACGCTGCTGCCAAGGGTTTCCCCCGGTACACGACGAGGCGAAAGGAAGGGTAGCCCCCAACGCCCTCCTGGAAGGTCAGGTGGCACCCACGGGCGCCATCGCGCCGGTGTCGGCCACGCCGACAGGGGTTTCCCCCGATCCCAACCCACACCTCGGGTGCTCCGGATCCAGCCATCAAACCAACCATCAGCCTGCGCCAACGCGGTCATTTGGGCTGAAGGAAACTCCTTCGTCAATTAGGGAATGCTTGGGGCGATGGATGGATAGGTTTAGGAAAGATGATAAGAAACTACTTTTAGTTGGGATCTTTGCCTTATTTTGGGCTTTATGGAAGTCTAGGAATGGGATAATCTTTGATAATAAGAAAATTACTGCTCCTATGCCACTGATCAAACTAATGAGGCATTGGATGATGGATTGGTCAATTTTACAGATAAAGGAGAATAAAAAAAAGGGAAAACTTTGTTTTTGCCACTCTAGTTTTTGCCAACTTTGCTTATGCCACTCTAGAATTTGACATTTCACTTTTGCCACTCTTAGCTTTTGACAATATATCATTTTTGCCATTCCGTGGCAAAAGCAAAAATTTTAGAGTGGCAATTGTGATACATGTCAAAAGCTAAGAGTGGCAAAAGTGAAATAAAAAATTATCGTTTTTGCCACGAAATGGCATTTGTGATGTATTGTCAAAAGCTAAGAGTGGCAAAAGTGACATGTCAAATTCTAGAGTGGCATAAGCAAAGTTGGCAAAAACTAGAGTGACAAAAACAAAGTTTTCCCTAAAAAAAGCGCTGGAGCTGGGAGCAAAACCGCTAGAGCAAGTAGCAAATGAGATCTGTGCAGCTTCACAGGGGTGAAGAATCAATGTGGCGTGACTGGAGAGGTAAAAAAGTCCTCCCCTTACTGAAGCTGCCAACACCTTCATTTGTTTTCCTGCTTTTTAGTAGTTTGTCTTTTGGTGTCTGTGTCTAGAGACTGTATTAAGAATTTGTTGCGTTCTGGTGTGTGCCACCCAGCTTGCTCTGAACCAGGTGGGTGGAGTAGCTAGAGGGGGGGGGGGCTCATGCTACACTACTAGGGAAAACCTTATACACAGAAATTTAGCAACAACGCGGGTTAAAAAAGCGCGCTAGTGCTATATAGCAGTAGCGATTTAAGAGAAACCGCGCTACAGCTACAAACTTAGCAGTAGCGCTGGTAGTCGCGAAAGCGCTACTACTAATATTCCCATTGGCAGAATGATAGGCTACGCATAGCAGTAGCGGGCTTAGATGAAACGCGCTACCGCTAGGGAATAATTAGCAGCGCGTTTCCAGGGAAGAGCGCTACTACTAACGGAAATAAAATAAGATGAAAAACAAATAGAAAAGTAAATGAAAATGAAAGAAATAGAAAAAGGAGAAAGGAAAAAAATAAAATGTAAAGCAAAATAAACGAAAAAGCGAAAAATCGGAGGAAGGCATAGCAGCAGCGTGTGTTTGTAAGAGGCGCTATAGCTAACGTAGCTGCAGCGCGTGTCCTAGACCCCCGCTATAGAAATAGAAAAGGAAATTAAAAAAGGAAGAAATTTACATAGCTATAGCAGCAGCGCGTTTTGCAGAAACCGCTATAGCTATCTTAGCGATAGCGCGTTTTGCGAAACGCGCTCCTGCTAAGTTTGACTTAACCAAAAAACCGTTTCCCCCCGGCCACTTCTCCCCCAAATCCCTCAACCCACCCCGCGCGATGCCGTCTCCCCGATTCACCGTCGCCCCACTTCGCCGCCGACATCGACGCCACCAGAGCCGTGTACCATCAACGACACCGGAGCCGCCCCCAACGCCATGGAGCCGCGCGGCCTCGTCAACGCCACCGGAGCCGCCGTCGACGCCACCTTCCTCGTCGTCACCAGAGACGCCCCTGCCTCCCTCGCCCTCACCGGAGACGCCCCTGCCTCCCTCGCCGTCACCGGAGACGCCCCTGCCTCCCTCGCCACCATTGCCTCCGTCGCCACCACCGGAGCCATCATCTGTAAGCCCCCACCCCTCCTCTCTCTCTCATGCATATAGGTTAGCCAGTTTAATTAGGTTAATTATCTAGGTTAGGGCAAAAATTTAGTTAGGGCTTTGACAGAGAAGTAGTTAGGTTAACTAGTTTAATTAGGTTAATTATCTAGGTTAGTGCAAAAACTTAGTTAGGGCTTTGACAGAGAACTAGTCAGGTTAACTAGTTTAATTAGGTTAATTATCCAGGTTAATTAGTGCAAAAATTTATTTTAGGCTTTGATAGAGAACTAGCTGCGTTAACTAGTTTAATTAGGGTTAATTATCTAGGTAAACTAGATTAACTAAGTAGGTTAAATAGGTAGGTTAATTAGGTTCGTTGGATTAACAAGATAGGTTAAGTAGATTGGCAAAGGTTTTTGATTTTTGAAAAGACCACTATTTTTCAAGGAAAAGAATTTAGGCAAATTTTATTTTTCATTGAAGTGGACATGTTATATCTTTTTATTGAAGTTGTTCGATTGTGCCCAAGTGGCTTTGTTGTTTCCACGGAATGATGCTGAGTGGCCTATGTGTTGCCGGAATGTTGATTCATTTCTGTTCCGGCAAATTTCAGGTTCTCGATTTGTCCACTTTTTAGCAAAGGTCATGCCGAAATTTCCCATGAATTTCGGCATGACTTGTGCTACAAACTAGGACATATCGAGTGCCCGGGATTTGCCGCACCAGGAAGGAGTCAACATTCCTGCAAAACAATAGTCCTTTTTTATGTCATTATTCATTTTATTAGGTCTAGAATCAATTGACTAGATTTAATCATAGGAAACATGGCTAGCAACGATGAAGGACAGGGTTCTGGTGATTGCGACGACGTCTACCGGGTGGTAGACGAATTTTTTAGCCTTACTGACGATCAACAGATGTTGTTGCTGGGCCCACCGGTGGCATCGGGGACTGAGACCGACACGCAGACCAGTGCTGAGACCGTCACGCAGACCGGTGCTGAGATTGAGACCGGCGCTGAGATTCAGACCGGCATCGAGACCGACGCTGAGACCGGTGCTGCCTCGGGGAGCGGAGCTGGTGTAGAACCGAAAGCAAGAGGCAACGGGTTCCTAACAAACTCAGGACTACTAGACTGGTGGTCACGGAGGTGGACGACGGCAATTTTGAGCCAAAGGCGCCCCAGGAAGCGCGCGCGTGCTACGGCAATCAAATAGGCTGCATCATTCGGACAACCGCCACCATCAACGATGAGAATCTAAAGAAGATAGAAAATATGAGGAGCTCCCTCCTAAAGAAGTTTCACCAGATATTCTTGTTCCCGGGCCGGAATGAGAAGGATTATGAAGATCCAGACAAGGACCCGGCAATGAAGAAGATAAACAAACACGCCATGACCAAGTTTAGCAACGCGTTGGCCGCCTGGAAAAATCGAGTGAAAGCAAAGATCAACGACGGGGAACCCTACTCCGAGATTGTAAAGGATAGTCCGACAATCACAGAAGAGCAGTTTCAAATATTCAAGGAGGCTTGCGAGGCCGAAGCTGCCAAAGAAAAGTCTAAGTACATGAAGGGGCTTCAAAAGAGGAACATTGGGACCCACCACCTCGGAAGCCGTGGTTACGGCGGAAAGAGGTCCAAATGGGCCAAGGAGGACGCGGAAGCCGCGAGTCTGGGCATCCCAGACCCCTTGGCGTATTTCACCGTCCCGCAGGAGCGTGACGTCCTGAGGGCCCGGCACCGTTGGGACCCAGTGAAGAAGGTTTATGAGACAACATCGGTCATTACAGAGTTCATGAGACTGCTGGTAATTTTAGTTTCTGATCAATTCGACTGCACACGTTAGTCATATTTGTAAACGATCCTTGTGCCTTTTGCAGAGAGAGCAGCACCGGATTGCGGCCGAAAGCGACTCGCCGTCTGAGGCATTGGCGAGGCCCAAGTGGGACACTCCATTCAACCGGGCGTTGAACATATTGAAACAACAACCGGTGGATACTCGACCGTCATATGGACGCGTGCACGGTGTCGGAGACGGCGCCACATGGAAGAAGTACTACCGTGAGACCACGGAGGAGAAAAAGGAAAGACGGAGGTTAACTGAAGAAAGCATCGACAAGAAGGTTGAGATTGCGGTTGAGAAGAAATCATCTCAGATAGTCGCAACAGTGGTAGCTGCCGCAAAACAGGCGATTGCAGATATATCTACTTCCTTGGTGACGGGCGTTTACACTTGGACAAGGCAAAATCCAGAAAAAATGCAGAGGACTTTCCCCTTGCTGACTTCTTGGCCGCACCTGCTCCCGCACCGGCTCCCGCACCGG